TCAGCAGAAACATTTTACATCAATTAATACATGTAGACATTGTGTGTGTGTTTTTTTTAAATCCCCCCTTTTCTATAATGGAGATTTCAGATGATTTTCAAATAATCAGTATGTCTATTGCCAAAGATATGAATCTTTGAAAGTGATTGGACGTGAGGGTGTCATGCTAGAACCACTTTTGTTGAGCATTTGTATAATTGACTCATATATTTATTAGTTTACTTTAATCATAATCTGCCTTTCTCACTGATACTTAAATTGGATTACACAGTGGAAATCACTGGAATCAATAGAATGAGGCATCTAAGAATGAAATAGCACTAGGATTAAAGAAATCAGAAACAAATCATGCAGTATTAGACATGTTGCATTAAACAACGCAGAAAAATGATATTGCATCAGGAGAAAATAATGCAATAAGAGCAGGGTAATATACACAGCAAACAGATTGCATAACCTATAGATCTGACCCAGTTCACTTGAAGCCATGGGGAAAAAATTCCTTACGCTGGATCCCGAGACAAGTCCTGATAGGGACATTCCTCGAAGAGAATTTCTTGAAAATGGTAAACAATCTGAGAAGTGATCCCACCAATGATGAGATCCCCTGGTTGGTACCACTGATGTGGAACAGGGAGGAGATCATTCAGGGTGCACATCATTGTATCTACTTCAGAGGCTACGGGTGATAGAAAGAGTAGGAAGAGCAACAACCTTGACATCCCGAGGTGCAAATTCTTTGGTGGCACTCACAGCCTCAGCCTAACTTTAACACTCTGTCTTGAATGGAAGATGACTCTGCTAATCTGGTTTTTTTAGAGGAGATACATAAACCTTTGAAAAAGCACCAGCAAAGTTATAATGGCATGCCTCGAGCAGCAGCTGAGATTGCACATACTACAATAGCAAGACTGATTGAAAAAAGTGAAATATTAGTGATCAGACCTACAGGGCTCTACATTACCTACACACACACCTTTGCCATAATGGTCATTGCCATAGGAGTTTTATAACAACTTTCAGGCTTTTTTTCTAAGCTTTTTTTTTTTTTTGCTGTTCCTTGAAGAGCCACTGGAGCTTTGTTCATTAGAAGAAATGACAGTGATTTGGATAATTCCAGAGACAAAGATAATTTCAGGGTAATATATGGGTTTTGAGAGAAGGTCCCCTCTTGCCATCAAAACTTAACTATATTTCAAAAAAACGAACAAAATGAAAAAAGAAAAACCACCAAGGAGGCCATAACATGAAGTCAGGAAGTTAGAGAAAGGACATAAGATTAATAATTATCCATTATTTAATTAAGTTATATATGGTCCACCTTTCTCCCTGAAACTAAAGGTGGTCTTAGCCATCTGAGATGCCATGCCACCAATGAGGAGATTCCCTGCCTGATACCATTCATGTGTAACAGGAATGGGTTCATCCTTAGAGATTTTTCTGCTACCTATTTTGCATGGACTAGGTAGTAGTAGAAGCAGGAACACCATTAGCCTCACCATCCTGGTATGGAAACTTGTTGGACTTGTCAATACAACAGTTTCAAGCCTGGTTTATCAACGTTGAATATGGAATGTCATATCAGCAGAACCCTGCCATGCCTTATCCACCTCTCAGTAACACAGGAGTTTATATAATTCAGCAAAAAGGAATTTTCTGATACATTCTGCAATGACATTGCAGCTTTGTTTGGTGGACAAATTACATTGATAATTCCGGGGTGGTGGTGTTGTAATTGCAGGGTGGACACTTACCTCCATCGGATACTTGCAGGGGGGGATAATTACCTCAAAAATTTCAGGATTTTTCTTTTGACAACTTGTATTTCACTTGTTTTTCAGGCTTAATTACTGCCATGCCTTTGTGGGACAAGAAATACCCCTCTGGCTTACAGTTTTTAATTATGGAACTGACCTTAGGAGAGCCAAAGTTCAAGGTAACAGTTGTTCAGGATATGCTGTCAAGGCACACTAAATGACTATGTAATACAGAACATGTGAGCTGGATATTGCCTCTGAAAGAATGGCATGAGCTTCCCTAGATCTGATTCTGAGGTCCATACACCATGTAGATTACAAAAGTCACCATACAGAGCAAACCAAAAAGAAGGTATTTCCTATAAGAACCCTGCATATCCAGAAGACCAGTGACTCTGGACATTTGATATAATTGGAAAGATCACCAAAATGGCCCCTAAACATAACATGGACCATCAGCAGAAGGGTACTGATAATGGGTGGGATCCATTCTTTTGTGTCTCTTTTGGACCAGCGGAAATAGTAGAGATTGGTTCCCTTTCATACACATATTTTATAGTCAAATCCTAAGCAGGGTTACACCCTTTTAACCCTATTGATGTCAATGGACTTAGAAGAGTATGGTTAGGATTGCACTGTCCATTTCCCAAGCAACCTTGTTCATGATAGAAGATAGTGGCAAGAGTGGGACTAGGACTGTCAGTTCTTAAACTGGTTCATCTACCAGCCCTTGTAAGAACAGTTTGATCTGCTGTAGAGGTAAATTGTGTCACCGGATCACTGCCTGCGACCAAACTGCCAGTCTTCACACTATGAGATAGTTCTCTCCTGGACAGATGACAATGGTAGTAGTGGTTCATATGATTAATATAAGTGGAATAAGCAGTTTTTATAGGTACAAGAACAATATGGTGGTGAAAGTGTTGCCAAGACAGAGATGACTTATGACAACCCCTCATGGCCTTTTCGTAGCAAGAGATGAACAGAGATGGCATGAAATTGTCTACCTCAGTGTAGCAACCCTGTATGTCCTTAGTGGCTTCCCATCCAAGTACTAACTGTGGCTGCCCTCGCTGAGTTTCTCAGATCTGGAAAAAAAATAGGCCTAGTCTGTGCCATCAAGGTCAAGGTAACAGCAGGATAAGAAGGAGAAAGTGATGAACATAAAGCAGAAGATACCGTATTTTAACTCTGGAAAGACTTCTCTTCCCCTGTGAGCCTCAAGAAAGTCACATATCAGTTTTTCTACACAGGAGGAATGTCTGACACTGGAATAAAATGTCTCATTGTATCCAGTGTTGCTGTTATGACCCCCTTCAAGCAACTCAGTGATGGTCTCAGAGTCCTCAGGGAAGAGAAGAAGAAGAGACTGGATTTATACCCCACCCTTCACTCGGAGTCTCAGAACGGCTTACAAACTCCTTTCCCTTTCCCTCCCCACAACAGACACCCTGTGAGGTAGGTGGGGCTGAGAGAGCTCTGACAGAAACTGCTCTTTCAAGGACAGCTCTGACAGAACTATGGCTTGCTCAAGGTCATCCAGCAGCTGCAAGTGGAGGAGTGGGGAATCAAACCGGTTCTCCCAGATTAGAGTCCATGCCCTTACGCTACACCAAACTGGCTCTCAAGAGCCCAAGGAACCGAGGCCATTGGCTTATGAGGGCCAGAGAGACAAGAGAGAGCTTAACATGACAGAGGCACAAGAAGATGACCCCCACTCTTCCACATGAAGCCTGCTGGGTGACCTTGGGCCAGTCACAGTTCCCTCATAACTCTCTCAACCACACCTACCTAACTAGGCGACTGATGTGAGGAGAGGAAGGTGTTTGTAAGATGCTTGGAGGTTATAAAAAGCAAGTTCTTTTTCTTCTGCTGTTTTTGCTTCTGCTTCTCCTTTCTTGTCCTCCTCCCCATCTTCCAGGATCATGGAGATCTAGCTGGGGTTGAGCTTTCCTTTCTGCGCAGGTGCTATGTGTTTGAAAAATATTCAAAAAGACAGTTGGAAGGCTGACGCACCCATAAGGCCTGAACTTTCCTTAGAAAGGTCTATGGGCCACATAACATCTAGCAAATCTCAAAGAGTATATTGGTTTTAATACTTGGGGGCAGGCCCAGGATGCATAAACTTTGAGTTTCTGAACTGAGACGGCATAGATCACCCCTTATCCTGATTTGTCTTGCTGTCACTGAGAGGAATGCTGACATTTAAGGGGCATTGAAGTTCACCAAGGGGGTACCAGGGGCTCTGAGAACATCTCTCTTTCCCAGGGAAAAGGGCCACAGAATGAGCAGAGGATCAATGAGGTGGAAATGCGTCTCTGCAAAGAGATAACCATTGGCTCCAACTGGCAGGAAGGGTGAGGTCGATAGATGCTGTAGAACAATGAACTGGGCATTGAAGCATGTTCGACATGCTTTCTTTAACAATTAGGAGGTAGGAGTTCATAATCCCACTATGGAACTGACTCCCTAACGTTTGGGTGGGAAAGATTAAAAAGTCTGAAAAATCTGTTAACTCCCTCCCCCACAAATTCCAGGGATCAGGTCCCAGGCACAGAGAAGTTGGGAAGGCAGAATCAGTATTTGCTTCACAAGCACTCCAGAAGGGAGATACTGAGATATCATATGTAACATTAATGTTAGCTTAGAGATATAAGTTTCCCTTTTCTTTCCCTTGATGTGCTCTAGCTAGTATATTTTCACTGGTCTTGTGCTCTAGTTTGTTAAACTGTAGTTGAAAAAGTCTTTCTTGCTTAAGAGATCAAACTGTGTTTCAGATACCTCCCCTCACACCTGGCCCTTGATCATGCACACATCAAGAAAGGGGTTAAGTAGTTGGGAAAGTCTGATCTTTGCACATGCCTAGCCTTTACTGATGGTCTTCATACTGCAAGAGGAAAAGGCTAAGGGGTTTAATCTGAATTGGTGTACTGAAGAAACATGCATTCACACATATACAGGACAGGTTTGTGACACTCACTAAACCCTTCAGAATTAACTTATTCTTTCATTTGAGAAAGAAAAGCAAGAAAGAAGTCACATTTGTTAGCTGAAGCTTCATCCAGACAGCATGTTTACACGAGGAGAAATTCTCTTGATCCGTCTTTACCCAGCTTTTTCCTGAAAACCAACAGTCAGTTCATTTTCCGTTTTTTAGGAATTTGGAACCTATTTTTAATCAGATTTATTCTGATCAAACAGAAATTCAAAGATGGGAAAGGCTGGAGGCTATATCCTGCAATGCTTCAGGATTTTACTCAGTCTATGATCAGAGGCACCCAACATCTTTCCAAATCTTCCTCTCCTCCTGCTAGAGCACCACTCTGGTGTGTTACAGAATGAACTGAAGTTACAAAATGGTGTATTTACTTATTTCCAAAGAAAAATTAAAGAGTGTTACAGAATGAACTGAAGTTACAAAATATACTTATTTCCAAAGAAAAATGAAATCTCTCTTTTAAAAGGGGGAAGAAAACAGAATAAGAGGAGTCAATGGTTAAACCTAAGAAGGGAAAAAGAAAAAGAAATCCCCCTCTGTACAGCAGTACTACTTGATACTGAAAAATAAAAAGAAAGATGAAGTCCAGACAAGAATCATAATTTTGAAACTATGTATTCTTACATAGATATCCCTTCATCTCCTCACATATTCTCACTTCCCAAAACAGTGATATTGCTATCTTTGAAATTGCTAAATCTCCAAAGCAACTTTTATGATCATTCATTTCAGATCTTTCCTGGTGATTCTTGAGAACCATCAACTTTGAGTTCCTGTAAGGTAGAGATGCAGCTAATGGTTTTAAATAAATAAATAACAATGGAACTAAATAAATTTTCCTTTCCGTTACTTGGTTGCAATGGTCAAGGAATAGAAATAAAATTGCAAATAAAATAAAATAAAAATCCTTTATGTGAAGAGCTTATCGTAGGCTTCTGGGTACCACATAGGGTTGCTGCTGAAATTGTGCTATTGAGTTAATATATGTGTGTCTAAAATACTATCAAGTCCTAATTGACTTATGGTGACTCCAGCAAGGGACTTTAAAATCATGTGAGAAGCAGAGGTGCGTTGCCTTTGTCTTCCTCTGCAGAACCTTCCTTGGTGGCCTCCCTTGCCAGTTACAACCCTATTTAGCTTTCAAGATTTGATGAGATCAGGCAGACCATGCTGCCTTCCCTTCTTCTATTAAGTTAATCCTAGAAATTAAACACACACACAAATAGAACAGTCACTGAAGTGAGCAGTGACTCACAAAAGCTCATACCCTGCCACAAATTTTGTTAGTCTTTACGGTGCTGCTGGACTCTTACTCTTTTCTACTGACACAAATAATAGAATGATGAGTCATAATTCTCTCAAAGATTTTATTCTCCATCATTCATTAACCTGATTGGTAACATATAAATTAAGGTTGCCTGGTGCATGGGAATGAATTATTTGATTAACCTATGATTTCCCAGGGAAAAAGGTAATACGAAGACCAAAGGCTCTTCCAGGACAAGAGCCAATAATAAGACATAAATAATTGCATGGGATGTGGAATGGTATAATATAGTCTGATGTCATCAGATTTCAGGAGCTAATGTAAAGCATAGCCCAGTCTCATCAGATCTCAATATAATATAGCCTGATCTCATCAGATCTCAGAGACCACCAAGGAAGACTTTGCATAGGAAGGCAATGGCAAACAACTTCTGCTTCTCACTTGCCTTGAAAGCCCCTGGCTGGGGTCCATAAGTTATCTGTGTTGTGATGGCATGGTACACACACCAGAAACTAATATGGTTTAATTTTTTCTTCTAATTAGACATTCTTTGTTATTTTGCTCGGGCCGGAACACAATAATATAACATTTGGGGAAAAAGATACAAGCCAGTAGCCCAGCACTGGATGCCAAAATAGAGAAGATCTCCACAGCTACCATGTATTTCCCTTTTGTGCTGAGGTAGGTGGGAACAAAAGACAACCAAACACTGCAAAATGTCAGCATGCTGAAGGTGATAAATTTGGATTCATTGAAACTGTCTGGCAGTTTCCTGGCTAGGAAAGCCACAGTCAAGCTTATGATGGACAGAAGTCCTAGGTAGCCCAGAACAATGTAAAACAGGATTGTGGACCCTTCATTACATTCTGCTATGATCTCTTCAGTCAGAGACTCCATGTCAAAATCGGGGAATGGAGGGGAAGTTCCTAGCCACACTATGCAAATGGCCTCTTGAATAAGGGAGCAGAACAGTACAATGGAATTAGTCAGTTTTTTCCCCACCCATCTCCTCATGCTTGGTCCTGGTTTGGTGGCCATGAAAGCCACAATCACGGTGATGGTTTTGGCCAACACACAAGAAACAGCCACTGAGAAGATGATGCCAAAAGTGGTTTGTCGGATGAAGCAGGTCACCTTGCTTGGTTCTCCAAGGAACAGCAAAGAACAGAGGAAGCAGAGCAGGAGAGAGACAAGGAGAGCATACGTGATATCTCGATTATTGGCTTTGACAATGGGCGTATCTCTGTGCTTAATGAAAGTTGTTAATATTGAAAGTGTGATAAGGGAAAAAGACACAGCTAATAAAGCTAAACTGATCCCTAAAGGTTCTTCAAATGACAAGAAGCTTATAGCTTTGGGGATGCATCCATCTTGGTACCTGCTTGGATAATGGTCTTCTGGGCATTTTACACAGTCAACCATATCTGAGAAAAAAAGAAAGAGGAATTGCTTCAGTATTGATTCATATATGACTTTGGTGTCTCAAGGCATAGTATGGAACTTATTGATGCTAATGTTTAAATGATTCCTCTCTGTGGAGGTAGTTGAGATATTTTTTCCAGTAACTCAGTCATCAGATGTTTAGGGTGATGGAACCACACAGAACTCTGAATGCCCATCCCAGAACAATGTGTTTGGGTACTTGTGGAAAGATGGCAAGTGTCATTATCCAAACATCTCTATTCAGGTAATTCTGCCCAAACCTGAGCACATGGAAACCTGTGAAAATGATAAAGCCTGTTATGAAGCATTTGCGGTGCATTCTGTTTCTTATGCCTTTGAAATAAATCAAGAGAGTTGCAGACACATGATTATGAGTCACTAATCACAAGCCAAGCTCTGAAATGATCTATTTCTCTCCACAGAAATTGTCACAATTTTTAATATGATGATTATATCCAGTGATTTATAAATAGTACCACAGTGTATGTATATGTGCACAAAATTGTAAGTTATGATTTGGGAAATGTTCATATGAATTAACTTTGAATGTAAAACATCACCTACCCTTATGGCTTGAAACCTTCCCTTCTGGGCAAGGAACACAATTATAACAGCAAAATTTCTCCCCTTCCTTCTTTTTCTTCTGAGAACCAGGAGGACAGTGAGCGTTGCACTCAGAAAGAGGAGGGCCCTATCCAGAAACATGAAAGGAGTTTATGACTGGATTCATTAGGGTGTTTTTGTTCTTTTGCTGTTCACAGCATTCGAACCAGTGAGCACTTTAAATGGAAAATGATTTCCCCTGTCTCTTTCTTGAGGCATTGCAATATACATCCCTTTAATGTCTCCTCATTCTTGTATTAATTTAGTAGGTGGTTTCTAATTTCACTATGGAGTCTAATAATCCATGACTGGGACAGATAATGGAATACAGTGAACTTCCATCTCTAAAATCACCTTTCTGGTTAATTCGCTGTGTTATTTGCTGATGAAAAGAGAAGAGTAGTTGAAATGGAACTGAGCCAGCCAACATTCTGCTACTACTATCCAATCATGGTGGGTATGGTTTTTGTTTTCTTCTGTTAGGATGAGGACTAGGGTTGCCAGTCCCCAGGTCCCAGTGGGGTTTCCCCCACTTTTTTGGGGCCTGGGTTGCCAGTCCCCAGGTCCCAGTGGGGCTTTCCCCACTTTTTTGGGGCCTCTGCCCACCACCAGCCAGCTGGCCAGTGGGGCAAACCCTGCCTCGAAACAGTCCGCACATGACATCACCTGGACTCTTACATCCCTGATGTGATGACATCACCTGGACTCCTTCCAATATTGTCCCCACTTTGCCCTTTATACTTCTGTGCCTTCCCACACTGTGCTACCCAATGCCTTCCCTTTGCCCTGCTCTCCAGCCAGAGGGTTTTTTGTGTTAGTTCTGGGATTGCTTCCCCGGAGTAGGGTCACCAATACTTCCTTGGCCTACTGAGAAGTCTCCTGCATCCTCCAGGTAAGACTCTGGGGTTGTGTCAGGTCATGGTCTTTGGGAGTTTTGGCCATGCCAACCCTGTCCAGTGCCACCACACCAGCCTCAGTCTGGACTCCATCCTTTCCTGGGCCTCTGGGCCATCTCCAGTTTCCTTAGCCACATGTTCTCCCAGAGGCCTCTAGTGTCTTATCTCCTGCCTTGACCTCTCAGGCCTGTTCCTGAACCCCCACCTCCTTATCTTAGTCATCACTTCAAGCCAGTGTTCCATTCTATTCCTCCAGCTGCCATGGCTCAGGTGGACCCTGCTCCTTTGGCAGAGTTGGTGCACCACCTCTGCTTCAGCTGTTTCTACTTCCAGCTGGCTTGTTGGAAGCACCCTGCCAGAATGTGCAGGTGGCCACCAAGGGTTTGGGAAGACATCATACTCCTCTGAGAATCTACAGTGAAGTTATATGATTTTGCAGAAACTTCAAACCCCATCTTTCTTGGAATTTCTCTTTGATCAAAACAGAGATGAGTAGAAACAGATTCCAAATTCCTAACAAGGGGAAAGAGAAAAGGGTTGATGGATTTCAAGGAGAAACTGGGTGAAGAGGAATTATGAAAAGCTCTCTTAGGCTCCGGTCACGCGGACAGGAAACTGCGGGAAGGAAGCGTGGCTGTTTTTTTTGCAAGGGGACATGGGCGGGTGCCGGATGCCACCAGAAACGCGATCAGATGCCTGCCCTTGCCCCGCAGTTTCCGGAAACTAGTACCTCCGAGGTACTAGTTCTTTGCTGCGTGTTTTCGGTGGGAAGCCTCAGTTGTGCCACGGAAGCGCTACGCTTCCCAGATGTGCCGGTGAGATCATGCCCGGAAACTCCACCTGCCTTCCATCTCTCTTGCGTGGCTAATGTTCCGTGTGCCCGCAGCCTTAATAACCCTAATTTATTCCATCAGAAAGAAAAAAGATGAATGGGTGGCCAGCTGAGACTGATGAAGTAACTTTATTCTTCCCCTCATAAACCATTTGAATAATGTTTGGGAAAGAATTTCATAGAGTTTAAAATATTATGAGAAACATGGCTCTTTGGTATTGCTTTAGTTTTTGTTTTTTTTAAAAAAAAGCATTATTTGTGGCCTTTATTAGAGAGCCAACAGGTTATCTATGATAGAGGTAACTTATGCACCAAAGGAAAGTCCCAACCACCAAATCAACTCTCTGGATAATGGAATGGCTTCTGGGAAGATCCTGGAATCCTTACTTCATTAAAAATACTTTGCCACACAATCACATCCTCATGAATAATGAATTGTTTCCCTTTGGGAGCAGAGGAATCAACCCTTCCAACTTTGACTCTCAGGAAGGACCTATTTGGGAATGTGACCATGTTCATGATGTCAAATCCAGTTTCTATTTCCTTGTTGACATTAAAATGCACTGTTTCTCCAGCAGAGTTGTTGAATGAGATGGCTTGAAGAAATGAGTGGAGCTAGTGGAAAAGAGAAAAAGAAACAGGTGTTGCATCCCCTTCTGAGTTCTTTACCTTTCTGCAGGTTATTACGCATTCACAACCAAAAGAAAACCTTATTCTGGCTGTTCACCACATATTTATTTATTTAACATTCGATTTGGTATCCCGCTCGAATCCCTTGGCTAGGGGTCTCTGAGCTGCTTACAGGTTTGGTGGTGCTAATCACCATTTCCCCCTAACTAGGGCCACAATATATAGGGGAATGGAACAACCTACCGGCACCCCCCTATGGTGGTTGTTGTTGCTCTTTCCATTGGCTTGGCTCGGCTCGGGTTGGGTCTCTGGACTGGCGGGTGTTCTTTCCGGCGTTTGGTGGTGGCTTCTCTTCCTCTTGAGGCGCGCGGCTCCGCCTGCTTCCAGCCCGGCAACGTCCCTTCCG